CATTATTTTATTCGAATAACACACGAGTCTTTTAATTATTTCTATAGTGTTATACCATTATAAATTGTAGTGTTCGCGTTTTATTTCTCTCCTATATATAATATATATTTTCATAGGTAAGCTTTATATTATTATTTGCTACACGTATTATAGGTACCTACTATTTATGGATTAAGACACACTGGCAATAAAGATGTGTATCGTGCACAATAATATTGTCGAACTACCTTTTCGCTCCGGAACAATTCTTCTAGCGAAAAATAAATAAATCTAACGTTTACCCACTGTAATACACCTACCTGTACAGAGTGATCCACTAATCATGAACCAACGATTTTCTCGGAGAACTTTCAGTAACTTAATTTTTATTTTAGATTCTGAGTGGTGCGAAGAAACTTATGGTTTTACAAAGACATTTATTTTTTTTCCTATGGACAATTTTTCTACCAGAGATCTATCTTTAATTTTTAAGTGAAACACCTTTTATGTAAGGGAATTTAAAAGAGGTACTTTAAGGAGGTTATTTTTCGATTTTCTCGGGAGTTTTCTTGTCAAATGTGAAAAACCGAAAAAAAAACGGGAAAAACAAAAAAAAAACCCGTACAATATTAAACAAATATTATTAAAGAAAATATATAATGCCTATTCAACTATATAATTTTAATATAATATGACATATATATTGTTGTGTATTAAGCATTTATGGTGCGACAAGCTTTATACGTTTATGTTGTAAAAATTATAAATATTACATAATCATAGCATATTGTATTACAATCAGTGGGGACTATCCATCGTTATTCGTTTTGCAGACAATATTTATGTATAACTTCATTCTGACTTTTATCGTTATCAATAAAGGACTAATTAATACATTTGAATTATTATTCATATTAATAATACTTAACATATATTGTTGACAAAGCATCACTATGAACTCCACTCAGAATCATTTTTAGTAAGCAATGGTTTATCGTTGCTTACAGATACAAATTAATTTCCCCTCTATATCCTAGAACAGCTTTTTTTTTCAATCATTATAAAATAGTTTACACTTTATTTTAAAACTATTTTTATTTTTACACCTACTCCATGTACCTGAAATGAGTATACACTTGGGATTTTCAAATAGTAACACCCTCTTCCCCCACGTTTGAGTACAAATTTAAATAGAGAATATTTTAATGTTAATATTCATAACACTAATATCGAATTTACTGTTTACGGGTTACAACATCTAAAAAATTAAATTAGAATTGTAGGGAAAGATTATAAATTTATCATCCTAAAATGAACATGTAATATTACCCTTTCTTACACTTCTGATCTAAATGTCAATCTCTTAAAACTCATTTATGAGTAATCTGATAAAATGTATATAGTGTTTTACACATCAAAATGTTTAAAAAAATATTCTCTATTCAAATCAGTGTTTAAAATTGGGGAGGGGTACTATTTTAAAATAAAATGAATAAATTAATTTAAGATATATAAATTAGGTATGACAAATTAAAAATAGTTTTAAAATAACTCTTAAGCGATTCCATAATAATTAAATAAAAAAACCTAAGTAAAACTTAAAATTCTCGGAAAAAATTGGTGATTCATGAAAAGTGGATCACTCTGTATATGAACACATGTTGTGTAATGTTCTAATTCGTTCAAATTGAACGCGTTCAGAGGTGTGTTTACATGCGTTTCTCATCGTTATAGTTAATATAGGTGCCTACCTATTGCAGCTGAAAACGATGTAGCCTTATAACAATATAGTAATTATTACTCCAAAAACGTTATTCGATCAATTATATTATTATGTTTAACAGACATTAATAAATAAAACACCGATATTGTACCTATACTCTAATACGCTTAACTATAATTCGTTAGTAATATTTAATATAATATATTCTTATTATCTTAATAAGGGTAGTAGATTTATACTTATAATTAAGGCTGTGAATTTAATACAGTGAAAAACCTTAAAAATGCACAGGTATGCAAAAAAAATCTCAATAAATGCAATAAAATATGCATTTAAAAGCTCAAAAAATGCAATATAAAATGGTTTTTAATTTGATTTTTATATTTATTTTAATATTACTAATATTAATATATTATATTTTAATTAAAAAGAAAAATATGACATAAAAAGTCCAAAAATGACTTTAAAAATTAAAAACATCAAGAAATGCAAAATAAAAGTTTCCTAAATGGATTTGTTGTTATAACATTCAAATTATATACTAAGAAAGCTACGCTTCACTATCAGCTAAAAAATGCACTTTCCTATAAATTCATAGCCCTACTTATAATATATATAACCTTCGATTGCATTGGGTGAATTTACTTAGTACTCGCTGTTGAGTTTAATCGCCATTAAAAACGCTCCATCGTGTAATCACAACTCAAGTCGTTTTAGTTTTTAGTCGTTTTTTAGTCGTTATCTATATTTTTACTGTGGTTGAAGTTTGGACAGTATGAGTTTTTATTTTAAGGTATAGAATATCGAATTTTTGATAATAGTTAAAATGGAATAATTATGTGAGTTTTCATAATATAATAAATCATATGGTTTTTGATATAGGTTAAATAAGTTTTAGTATCAAAACTCGCATAATGTAATCGAAATAGTTAGTTTTGACGCAAAATGCGACTTTCCTGTTAAATTTATACTTGTTCTTGTGTAATCTTAAATGAACTGCTTACATCGTGTAAATTTTGATTCTAACCTATTCGTATAATCGTCTCATATGTTCAAATTCCGTACATCCAAATGTCAAGTTCACGGTCTGTACGAATAAATACATGACTGAAAAAAAAAATTATTTAATTAAAAATGTTTTTATAAATTTAAAAGAAAAAAAGATTGAATACTATAGAGATGGATGCGCCACTGTGGTGGGTGAGAAATCGAGAAGGTAGGTTATTTAATTTATACTTATAAGCAACAATAAATAATTGATAATGAAGAACGATTCGGAGAGAAATTTGGTTATACATGTTTTGAAAGGCCTTAATATTTACGATTTTCGTCAAAAATTGATTTTAAAACTTATAAAAAAAATAAAATACTACCTACATTAATGAACATTCTGTTAAATTTTGAAGCATTGTAGTTTAGTCAAACATTTCCATTCATAGAGTACCTACTAAATCAAAATTACATAAAAAATTCAAAAAATAAAATGTCTATAAATAGATAATACATAGCTCAATTGTTTTGAAAATTGTATTATGTCTAGAAAAGGTAGATCAGTTAGGATAAGTTTTTATCCAAATTTAAAGTCACGATTGTTTTTAACTGAATAAGAACAAAAAAAAAAAATTAAAAATAATATAAGTATAATTTTTGTAAATTATACCGTTTTTCTACGTTTATTTCGGTTTTGATTTATTATTTAAAAAATTAAGCGTAAAATCAAAAAAAGACTTTCTTAGTCAGCAACTAAATTAAAAATGTCTTTAATTATTTTTCCGTTGGAGCAATGTTTTTGGTAAAAACATAAGCCGTAAAAATTGAAAATAATTAAATCGTTGTGCCATATTTTGAAAAAATCATGTATTTCGGATATTTGGCTTTCCCAATTATTATAAAAAATACTTGGAAAATCAAAAAATGACTGTGTTTGTGAGCATTTCGATCCAAAATGTGAAAAAAAGTCTCTTACCGTTTTTTTATTGGAGAAATATTCCCGGTAGAAAACATCGTGTATACTAATTTAAAATAATGCAATCGGTAACACCGCGATAGGCTGTCTGATATTTCCCATTTTACCTATAATTTTTTCTCTCTTTCTGGAATAACACAATTATTTTAACAATTCCTAAGAAAATCAAAAAATGACTTCTATGATGCACCGACTAGATAAAATTTCCTTTCAGAAAATATGCTACACTAGATATATTGGAGCAATATTTCTGGTAGAAAAATTGTCCACAGACCCTCCCAAAAAAAAAAAAAAAAAATACAAAATAATATACATCATAATATTGATAGTTCCCTAACTACACTCATAATATATAAAAAAACCCATCATAATAAAACGAATAATATGTCCCTCATTACGCTCCGAATCTAAATCGAAAAATCGTAAAATATATTGAATATTAATAAAAATGCTTAAAACCTAAATTGTGTTATTCCACGTAGAAACTCACTAATTTTATTGTATGGATTATTTTTAGTCTAACGACTATAATTTATTATTTTTACTTCGTTGAATTAATTGCTCTTTATAATTTTAATTTTTGTAATAATAACATAGGTATTAAATACGTTGTTAGTATACCAGCGACTATATAGTGCAGTGTTCCTCAACCTGGGAGATGCACCCCTTTAGGGGGTGAAAACATTGCTGGGGAGGTGCAAGCAGTCATCATGAAGTAAAATTTGTAATTATTAAACTATTTTCATTTTATAATGTAGGGAAAAAAAGGTAAAATGTATAACGACTGGCTATATCGATGAAGATTACGAGCAGGGCCGTATTCAATTAGTGGCAATAAGAAGCAGTTGCCCAGGTAACTTTATTATTTTTATAAAGAATGTTTGATAAGAAGATAATACATATTACATTATAGGTATCTTTTTATAGATGACCTCTTTTTTTTTTTTGCTCATCATATTGTTAAGAGGGGGTGCGACATTTTTAAAAATTGAAGACCCCCAATAAAGGCCTAAAATAAAAGAGGTTGGAAATCACTGATAGAGTGACTATAATATAACGATAGTGGTTAGTATAATAGCTACAAGATTTCGGAGACCGTAATTTGACTTAAAAAATGAGAAAACTAGAAAATACGAGAAGAAAAGAATTTTGATTAAAAATATCGGAGAACGAGACTGAAGAAATATGCCATATCCAGTACATTATTAAAATAAGATGAAAGAACGATAGTCCTGCAGCTTAAACCACTTAATTATTTACTCTAATACTTGTAGTTTTCAGAGTATATTATGCGAATGCGTGACGTACGTGGCTGAACGAGGGAGTTCACCAGTTCAAGTGTACATGTCATGTGACAGACAATATTGCTATATTATACACATTCTCACTTTCGCACAACTTTGTTCACTGACAAGCAGAGCGAATACATTTGGCTGATATAATATAGGTTTCATATAGATGAAGAACATTTTTTATGAAGACCACAAATCATTTTTGGAGAGCCGAGAAGTAGTGAAAGACGAACTTCCACCCAGGAAGGCCTTCAACCTCTCAAAAATCTATACAAATTTGAAACGATGTGAGAGCTACTGCAATTTAAGGATAGAACTACAGAGAAACCGGTCAACCAAGAGGACATTGTTTTTGTACGGTTGGTAATAACAAACAAAAAACACAACACAGGAGCAAAAGATAATTCCAGTTACAACTTCCAGTACTGCTACGAAGATTGAAAAAACCTACTTTGCCATTATATTATTGCTGTCCAAGAAGAATACTTTGATGTATAAAATAAAATAAATCAATATAACAAAAAAAAATCAGTCTTTATACATTTTTACCACACCTAGTGTTACCAACACAATAATGGGATTATCCATAAATGCAAAAATAATATTTTAAGTGTATAAACGAATTTTAATAACATGTCACCGGTTACACAATATATTTTTTTGTGAAACAAAATGTAATAATTATTATCCCAAACATGTTATTATAACAATAGTCATAACGGGAATAAAATATAAATATTTCTATGCCAATTTGTATAGGATACAATGATATTAAAAAGTAAAATAAAACCTATAACTTGGTAATAAACCTGGTTATTATTATTTATAAAAGTAGTACACATTTATATAGGTAGATAAAGCCATATTGGTACCTAATTTTAGTTGGATATAGTTATTATCACTGTTTTAAATAAAAAGAAGATTGGTAAATAATTAATTACACATTCGATATACGTATCGGAAAAAAAAATGTAATTCCTATTTATTAATTTATGATACCAATACTCATAAATATATTATTACCTATATAAAAATAAATAACTACTTTGTATTTAGGTTTAAAAAGTATTTTATTTTTTTAAAGAGTGTTTCAAAGACGGATTAATTAATGAAAAAAAAATAATCTTCTTATGAAATAGTTTTTTATTCATTTACGATTATTTGTTATACTGTCATAGTTCAGTTTAATATACCTACCAAACTGAAAACTATACTAATCGAAAACTACTTTCTTTTATTTAATCAAATATATTTGAGTATAGTTTAACGTTGTGCCAAAAAAAAAAATAATAATAATAATAAAGGACCAATCAATCACTCAATTGGACCGTTACAATTGAATACAATTGATCTAAAATAGAATTTTCAAATACTAATATATTATTATAGCTACGACAAATAATCCAATTTTGAACACATTTTGAACAGTTTTTAAATTATATACGCATCTTATATAAATACCGGTGTAGGTTTTATTAGTCTTTTATTTTAAACTCTAAAATGAGGAAAATCAACAATGTAACAGACAGCATGACACTGATATTTATAAATAATTAAACTTTCTATTCTAAACTTGAATACTCTTCGCGCTGAAACAAATAAAAAAAAAGATCTGATACTGAGGACGAGTACAACCACTATTGTAGGTTGAAAGTCAAGAAAGTAGGATACATAAAGTTATTTAATTTATACCTGTAAGTAAAGATGACGAAAAAAGATTCAGAGAAAAGTTCAGAAACAGATTATGTTTTGAAAGGCCGTAATATTTATTTTCATCAAAATTCGATATTAAAATTCTTAAAAAAAAAAAATGATATATTAAACTCAATTTTTTTAAATTTTTTTTTTGATGATAAAGTATAACTTATAATGAACATTTTGTTAAATTTTCAAGAATTATTAAATCGTATAATTTTAATATAGTGTTTCATGTGGGTACACTCATTATCTCGGAAAGTATTAACTTTTTTCAGAATTTGTTTTATAGAACATTTAATAAAGAAGCAGCTCTACAATTTTACATTTATGTTATTTTTTGTTAACCTTTTTTGGGGGAAAGGGGAGGGAGGTAAAACTACTATCTACTTTTGATTTTTATATAACAACCTATACAAAAAATAGATAGAATATTAGTTAAAATAAATGTTGGTGCTAACAGTGGAATATCACGTGAATGGGTTGATGGGAATCAAAAATTTATCAAAAGTAGATTTCACAATTCGGTAACAACAAAATTATTGATAACTCAAAATGAAAACGATTCTAAACGAAGTTCGATTGAATATATTTTATGATTTTGTCATAATATTTTAAACTTAAAAAAAAAATACTTTTATATCGTACTGCAGTTTTTTAAAGCTCGTGCAATTTTATAAAAAAAAAAAAAACAATCTGACAGTCTGACAGTCAGCGATCCGATTATACTATATTATAATGGACGATACTGCAGGATGATACTCAGTACATAAAACATAAGTATATTTTTTATTTCGTGTTTAAAAACGTTTATAAATAAAAAAAACTACTGCATTAAACTTATACTAATACTAATTGTATTAAATTTTCAAGCATTTCTAATCGGCCAAAACAATTTCATCTATATAAAACTAAATAAAAACTAAAAGTAGGTACTCTAAAATTTAAAACGTTATCATTTTTTGAAAAAAAACTAGTTTCAAAATAATGTTTCACTATATCGTGTGTAAATAAAGCAAAGCTATACAACGATTTTTAAAATTCATTTTTGAGGATTTGAATTTGGATATTCAAATAAGTTAGTTTTTAAATGATTTTTCCCGTCTCTGCATACGACTGGGTCTATATAACTAACAATATTATTAGTAAAAATATATATTATAATTATAAATATAAAAATCAACATTAAAAAATTAATTATTTTTCGTACATAATTTCATATTATTTTCATTTATATATTATGTATTATGATATTATTAAATAAAATTAAAAAATTCAATTATTCAAAGGCTTTCTGAATTCCAGAAATCTTGCGTAATAAAATATTTTAATAGAAAATATGCAAAACCTATAAATTGCTCTCTCCGAATAATAATTAAGTATAATCAAAATAAAAAAAAAAAATGTTCTTCTCTATATCATATTGTTAATTAATTTTTCAATTTCGTTGATAATGACAGATTATTATTTATATATTCAAATTAATGTAATAATAATAAAACAAATGCGTAAATACATTTTAGTCGTCATAATAATATTATACAGTGGTCGTCAACTTATCTAATTCCATTTCAGAAATGTTTAATTTAAAATAATATAATTTATTTCGAAAACTTTTCATAACTTGTGAATTATAATATATTTCGTGCAGTAAATACTTTTATATCGTACTGCAGTTTTTTAAGGCCCTTACAATTTTATGAAAAAAAAAATTCTAACAGAGATTCGATTATACTAGATTATAATGGACGGTACTGAATGGTACTCGTTACATAAAACAAGTATATTTTTTATTTCGTCTTTTCTCGTAAATATATTATTTCGACCCGCAAACAATTTTGTTTTAGTAGGAATTGTATTGAATAAAAGTAATGGCTATCTCGATAAGAGATATTATAAACAATAGTGAGTAAAATCGTTTTTGAAAAACCGTGCGTAACGCGATAAAAATCAAAAACGTTTTGTTCGATTTGAAATACAAATACAGTGAAACGGACACCTCCCAATAGCGGACATTTTTTGGAAACGGGGAAATTTTCACTACTTTTCAATAGGAAAACCTCCGGATAGCGGGACACTATTATAAAAATAATGACAGAATGACAGTACTAAAACGCATTCGCATTATACATGTAGTATGTGCTCTCATAATAATGTAATAGCGATAACGAACTCGATAAGATTACGAATAGCGAAAAACTCGTTAGGTAAAAAAATTGGTGTGATAATTAAATAATGGCAAGAAACGCTAATTTTGTTTTAAATCCTACTTAAAGCACTGCCTAAATATTAAATGATAAATAATTTAATTGACTAAACCTTTAGTTAGGTGTTTGATTTCAATAGTAAGGTAAGAGAACAAGGTAGTAACTATATAATATCAATTTTTTAAAATTGAAATTGACTGAAATAATAATTATTTACCAACAATATAAAAAATAAGATAAAATTATTGGGGGGGGGGGCATGAATCTCTAAACCTCTCTCAGATACGACCTAGGTACATTAAATTATATACAAATTAATTAATTAAAAATAGGTATTTTTATCATTAGCCTGGATACACGTACATATAATATCAAATAATTTCCGTATTCAATAACTCTATTCTTAGAAAAATCCAAAATACTATACATCTACGTTTATACATAAAAAAAAAAAGTAAATTTAAAAATCATTAAACAGCTAAACCTGCTATTTATTACAAGTATGAAACGACCGTAATGAAATACTATTTAAATATTTATAAAACAAATAATAAGAGAAATATTACGTCGCGATCGCACTTATATTATAGATAGTTTATCGACTTTTTAACTGTAATCAGTATACCAATACATAGTATAGAATACATAACAATATTATAATGTATTTGTTTATTACGTTTTAAAATTGTAAGTTGATTATTATTCAAATTGATTATTTATTATAATAACGTAAATATTTGTCGGTTATACGTATGAGAGCTGTAGGTAGGTACTTTAGTTTTATAAAGGATACTTGTATCCTACCCCTACCGTTTTTTTTTTCGGTTAATCCTTTTTTGATATACAAATAAAAGTAGATACCTACGCGTATTTTGTTTAAAAAAGGTTCGCGCACCGTTATAAATAAATAATTGAATACAGATACAAATGCAGCCCACCATTATAATATACATTATTAGAGAGGTTAGTTATATGGTCCTATGATCCAGACAATAGCATAAAATTAAAATTAAAAAAATGAGAAAAAACGACGAGCATATTATTTGTATATACGATCGATCGTTAAAATTTATCAATTATTGATTTAATTGACGTACTGTTAATTAAAATACTCTCTCACGACAATTTGTAAATATTACAAAAGCAAAAGAATAACGACAAAATAATGACATCAATCTCGGGTATATCTAAACTTGAAATTAATTTTAATAATAATATGTAAATTATTAATATTATTGAAATTAGATTACATTCGATTCCCAATCGTATGGTATAAATATTATATAATATTCCTGAGATGAATATTTATTATTAATGTATACAGAATGATCAATCCCGATAAGATACTTATTATTTCGGAAATTATTTAATTTGTTTGGAAAATTTAAGAACGAGCAGGTGTAAAATGTAATATTACAATTATTTTCAATAATCTTCGTTTTAGATTCTGAGTGGAACGAAGATGCTTATGGTTTTACAAAGATATTTATAT